TTGATTTATAAGCTCAAGAGAGCCTGGTCCCATGTTTTCCACGAAGCAACAACTTCTCTGCCTGTATTCCTGGTTATTTGGGGAGTGACTTTATTTGCAGTTTAGTGTTGGCTTTAGTTGTCACCCTGATGCCCTGCATGCCTGCTCGTGGGTGGAGGTCTCTGTGCGTGTGGCACTCCCTCGCGATGCTAGGTGTATCACAGAGCGTCCACAGCAGGCTCTGTGGGAGCTGTGCAGAAAGCTGTCCTTGAGTTTTCAGGCCAATGGGAAGGATTCAACAAATGGTCTGATTCAGATTAAGCTTCTAATTGTAAAGAATGTTAGTTTATTTACATCCAGTCTGGTTGTATCTGGACTTACATCTGAGAGGAAAGGCTTGAAAGATGAGTTGGGACACCTTCTCTAAGAAGCACTTCTGAGCAGGCCAGACACAGCGTCCGATCTCTAAGGGAAAAGGTCTTTCTCTGCTGTCACTCCCTTCTGCTCCCCAGGGACAGTGGTCCCCAGGGTAAGAATGGTGGGCATCTTGGTTTGAATTCTTCCTGAAGTTAAAGATTTAAGTGCAAGCAATTCATCCGGGAGGGAAGGGAACACCAGGAGGTGACAATCAAGAAGTGAGGCACTGAGACAGGGAGGCAACCCAAGGTGGGGGCACCATCAGGTCAGGTACCCCTGCGGGCTGATCCCCGCTGGGCAAGTCTGAGAAACTGCACAGAACACCCCTCAGAGTTCTGCTACCTGGAGGGGAAGACAGCTGGGGTACTTCTATCCCAACTCCCGTTAGTTATTCTGAGGGCTGCTCCCTGAGATGGGCTACATCTCCCTGAACACGTCCAGCCTGCCACGGGCATGGGCAGGGTAGGGTAGGCTCCAGCAGCCAGAGAGAGCCCTCGGGCAAAGAGGTTCAGGGTCTGAAGCTGAAGGTGGGCAGGTGAGCCCTGAACAGGTAAGAGCAGATGGTGCACAGTTAGGGTCCAGACAACCACAACTGACTAACATATGTACCAAACTACATGTGTATGTACGTGAAAGAGGCACGGAGGAGGTGCAGGTGCTGGGGTGATGTGGTGACATCCCTACTGCCCCTGTGGTATGTGGTCGTGTTTGGGTCTATGTCTTGGCAACAAGAGCATTAAAGAGCGAAATCATGGAACTTGATGAAACCTTGGTGCCCAAAATGAAAATTTAGAGGACCCGAATCACTTGTCCCCAGCACTAACTGTGTCAAATTAACATCACCAGCTCGTGGAAATGTGGAGCCTGAGAGACTGTTACTACTAGGGCAACAGTACCAGCAGGTGTTTGGGAATGCTCGCTCTGCGCTGGGCGCCCTGCTGGGTGCACATTGTGGATGGCTGCAGTGACTTGTCCCAGAATTCCACGAGGCAGCTACAGTTAGCACAGAGAGGTTGTCACTTGTCCAAGGCCACACAGCTGAAGGAAATTAGAAGTACTCTCATGTGGCCTCTCCATTTAGCCAATGGAGAGACTGCTCCATGCCGGGGCAGTGTCTTGTCCAAGGTCACACCGGGCGCTGGGGGTGGGGCTCGCACTAGGATCGGGGCATGCCAGTCCCACCAGGCCCCCTCTTCCCACATTTCATCACGAGCCAGTGCCTCCCCTCTAGCTGCACCCCATGCCCAGGATGCCTCCTGGCAGCATGTCTGGGGGATGCCCGGGTGGTCCTCCACGCACCTGCTTCCCCTCCATCGCTCCCCTCATCTCCTTGAATGTGGAGGTGAACTCTCCGATGAAGTCATGTTTGCCGTTGGAGTCCCAGTCCCACACAATGCACTGCAAGAGAACAGAAGTACTTTTTTATATAATGAAGAATGCACCACAGCCAAGGCAATGTGAACTTCCCGAGGCAGCGCTGATGAAAGATGCTGGGTTCAGACCGAAGCCCAGCAGTCCAGGGTTGTGGCTCGTGGGAAGCAGTGCATCGCTGGTTCTGGCTGGCTGTACTCAGCCTCTCTGCCAGGATCTCCAAGCAGCCCTGGGATGCGGCAGTGACTAATACTTTGCCCGTTTTCCCAGTAAGGCCAGTGAGACCAAAAGAGATAAAGGGACCATCGTGAGAATGAAAACTCTGGGATTTGAACACAGGTGTCCTGACTTCGGTTCCAGCATTCTTTCCCCGGAGCAGAGAGCCCCTGTGGTTCACAGCTGGGACCGGGGGCCAGGGTGCCTGCCTGTAGCTTCCACGGTGGCCGCTTACTTTCAGTGATCTGATCATGTGAATCACATTTTCTGTTTCTTTTTTTTTTTCCCAAAGTGATGCTAACAAGAATGAGTAAGAGGGCAAAAAAAGTGAGATCTTTCGCCATACGCATATGAGAAAAGGGCAAAAAACGGAGACAGGCGAGTCACTTGGGTGAAAAGCAGGCATCCATCACACCTAAGATGCAACCATTCGCGTCCAGTGAGAGGGTTCCGTCTAACAGCACTACAGCTAACTTCCGGGCTCGAATAGTAGCACTTGGCACAGCGACACGGTTTAAATCAGCAGCCACCCTTGGTCACACGCCCTTAGATGAAGAGGGAGTCCCCAGTTTTTTCTAGGGTAGAGTTTGGAACGGGGTCTCAACACTTCAGACCTCACTTCTACATCTTTGATTTTTTTAAAAATAAAATTGAATCTTAAATTCTTTTTTAAAGCTTTTCTTTTGGGGGAGAGGTAGGTAATTAAACTTGTTTATTGATTTAATGGAGGTACTGAGGATTGAACCCAGGACCTCGTGCATGCTAAGTACATGCTCTACCACTGAGCTATACCCTCGCCGCTCACTGCTATACCTTAAGAGGGATTTGCAGCCAGGAAGCCCCAGATCTCAGATAAGATGGAGGCAGCAAAGGGGACTTTTACTCGGAGGCTGTCTCTGGAATTTGAGGGCTTAAGGGGCAGCTTGGTTCTTCCTCGGGATGGAGACCCCACTAGCCAGTCCTGCCTGCAAAGCCTGCTTGTAAATCTTTTTTCTGATTCTGTAGGATGCTGCGCAGACCTCAAATGAAGTGTGTCCAAAACAAAACCTAATCCCCCCACCCCAAGCTGATCCTTCTCCTTTATTTTCTGTCACAGTGAACCATATCAACACTTATCTGGGTGGAAACATCGTTCAGTATGTGCTAGTGAATATCACAGGTGAGCACCAGCCGGCTGATCTGCATGTTCCCATACCCAGAGTTTTTCACTCTATGTGCCGGCCCCTCCACACTGACCCTGACTGTCACAGTCATTCCCCGGAGCCAGAAACGAAAGCTTGCCCGGCCTGGACACAGAAGGAGGAGGAGGCACATTCCTGTCTTCCAGGCTTAGCACTGTGTCCAACAGCGATCACCGCCTTGGGACACCTGAGTCTGACTCTCTGATACTCACTCATTATTCTACCTTGGAGAGAGCAAAAAAGAAGGCAAAGGGGCAGAAACCAGCAAAAGAAAAGACGTGGAAGCAGCCTTTCGAACACACTTTTGTGTTTCACTGTATTTCTTTTTAACTCTTTCTCCTCCACACGTGCAGCAGAATATAGAAAAAGCAAAGGGGACTGTTTGGGGTCTTTTAGTTTGTCACATATGTGTAAGAAAACCACCTATCACTTCTCAGATTTCCTGTCATGCTTTAGTTGGTTACTGCCCTCCTTCCTCCTGCCACTATCACACCCAGGACGTCTGCTGTCCCTGGGACAGACCCTCCCCTGGCTGGAGGAGGACTCAGACTCCAGCATGGCCTCCCAGGGTGGGCACCGCTGCTCACATGGGGCTTCACCTCTCCAATCGGTGGCATTTGTCATAATAGAGTTGCAGAATTCTGTTCTGATCTTTCTCAGGAGGGATCCCAAAGGAAGGAAGACAATGAGGTAGACAAATAAAAACACTGTCTTCCCCACTCGCCCTGCCATGAAGCTGGCTTCTGTCTGCTCTGATGAAGCTGACAGAGGAACACATCATGGTGAAAAGTAAACAGATCAATTGCCCTGCAGAAGCACCAAGGCAGAGGCAGAGTTCTCAGGCAAATTAGACAGGAAGCCTTGACAGATGAGGGAGAGTGGCAGCTTGGGAACCATCTACAAGCTGGGAAGCTGGTACAGCTCACAGTGGAGTTTGGGTATATACTCTTAATATGTCCGAGCTCGACAGATGGCCTTGTCAACTCCCTCATTTTACGGAGAAAGAAATTGATGGAAGAGAAGTGACATGGCTTCTGTGAGTTCACCCAGGGCAGGGCTGCGACTAAAACCCAGGTTTCCTGCCTACTTAATTTCATCACCACCACAAAACAGTGCAAATTATAATAATTACAACATACACAGGGCTTACTATGTACCAGACATTGTCCTGAGTACTTTATACACACAAACACACTCACTTAATCCCCAGAATAATTTATCTGGCTCATTTTACACGAGGAAACTGAGGCACAGAGAGGTGAAGTAAGTTTCCCAAGACCACACAGCAAACCAGAGGTGATCTTTGAAGTAAAAGAAGTTACACTTCATAGCTTGTCCTAACCAATCATCTTTTATGAGCCCAGGTCATTTGTGTTTATTGTCTTTAATCCCGGACAATAACCCTGAAATGACAAAATTCTCCTTACCATTCACAGGAAACTGCCATTCACAGATGTGACTCACAGTCTTAGAGAGGTTAAGTGACTTCACTAGACATCTAGACAATGACAAAGATGGATTTGAATCCAGGTGTCTGGTGCCATGGTTGCTAAGTTTTCCGCTGTGCCACGCTGCCTCTTAAGGGAAGCAGGAATTCACAGTCAAGGGCTCCTTAGTCTGCTCTATGCAAGAAGCACTGTTCTTTGATTAATAAACCACCGGGGCCCTCTAGGGCTCAGGGAACCCACTAAGCACACAGAGGAGCTGCTCACTGTTCCCACGTAAGAGGATGCAAAGGAAGCAGAATGAGGGTTTCCCCAGCATCCTCAGCTCCATCTGTGGAATGCGTGGGTAGGTGTGTACTGAGAGGTCGGGCTACTCCATCCTACCTTTACTTTACTTTTGCACTGAATCCATTAGAAGACAGGTGCTATCCCAACTTACCACTCACTCGCCTGTTTGCGATGGTCAGTTTTATGTGTCAACTTGGTAGGTTAATGTTCCCAAGTATTTAATCAAACATTTATCTCTTTGTTGCAATGAAAGTATTTTATAGACATGATTAATCAGTTTAGAATCAGCTGACCTTAAAGTAAGGATTTTGTGGATCCATGAATTTAGGATTTTTTTCTATTTCTGTAAAAAATGCCATTGGGATATTCATGGAGATCACACCAAATCTTTAGAGTACTATGGATTTTTTTAAATTGAGATTTAGTCAGTTTACAATGTTGTGTCAATTTCTGGTGTACAGCACACTGCTTCAGTCATACATTAACATACATATATTCATTTTCACAATTTTTTTTATTTTTTGGGGGGATAATAAGGTTTATTTATTTTTGGAAGAGGCACTGGGGATTGAACCCAGGACCTCGTGCATGCTAAGCATGAGCTCTACCACTTGAGCTATACCCTCCCCTTGGGTATTTTTAACAATATTAAGTCTGCCAATCCATAAAAATGGGATGTCTTTCCGTCTCTGTGTGTCTCTGTTACTTTCTTTCATCAGTGCTTTGTAGGTTTCAGTGCTCAGTCTTTCATCTCTGTATAAGTTTACTCCTAAATCTTTTATCCTTTTTAATGCTACTATAAATGTGATTTTTTCTCGTTTTTTGTTGAGATATAATTGACATATAATATTTTGTAAGTTTAAGGTGTACAACGTACTGACTTAACACATTTATATATTGTAATATGCTTACCACAGTAGCCTTAGCTAACACCTCCATCAGGTCACAGAACCGTCATTTCTCTTTTGTGGTGACAGCATTTAAGGACTAGTCTCTTACCAACTTTGAAGTAGATAATACAATACTGTTGACTATAATCACAGTGCTGTGCATCAGATCTCCAGAACATACTCATCTTCCACTGCAAGTTTGTACATTTTAACCAACATCTCCCCAGTCCCCTCCTCCTTCCCAAACTCTGGTAATCACCATCCCACTCACTGTTTCTATTTTGGCTTTTTAAGATTCCACATATTTTTCATTCTCTTTCTGATTTATCTCACCTAGCATAATGCCCTCAAGGCACATCCATATTGTAGCAAATGTCAGGATGTCCTCCTTTCTCACAACTGAATAATATTTTAA